TTCGTCAGGGTCTATCAGAAAGGCCGGGTCTGTTGCCCCGCCTCCTGTCTTTTTGTGTTGGAATCTTGATGTGTTGGTCAAATCGGTTCGTGTGAAAATAAGGTTATCTCTCGTTATATCACCCGAATGGCAACATGCTTTAGGATTTGCACACACCCGAATGTGTCCGAGCTACCCGAATGGGGGCATTCGATGTATACATGCGAATCATGTATAGCTGGATAAATAGTTCAGTGAAGTGTAGCCAAGTTCAATGACATCCCAGGCAGTGTCAGAGTAAAATGCATCAGAAATGTAAAGTCTCATATTATGCCGAAAGAACGTACACAGACATACAGAGGTACCGGTATCGTAGAAGCTGCAACCTTTGCTTGTTCACATATCCCACGTCAGAAGCTCCCGTAAAGGCTTCGAATGCCAAGAGAACGTAAATGCCACAATTGTAGTTGTCGGTCTGGATACCAATGCTCGATACGTACGACTGGTGATGATACCTATCCTTCGGTATCGGTAGGACCCCCACCAATTTGTGCGCGATAGCTCGGACGCTGGCCGCATAGGATGATGACATCGGGTCGTAAGAGTATATGCTGTCGGTCGATAGGTCGATCATGATAGCGCACCAATGATTTCCATTACAATTGATGGGAACGAGCACCTTTTCGTCCGAAACCCCGGCGAAAAGAGACGCAAGGCCCTCCATGTCTGCAGTGTTTTTCCCGTTGACAACTACACCGACGTGGCTCGAATCAATGGTGACCACTTCTGGTGTGGACGCAAACATCACGTTCATCACCGCATACATGCACTCGTCCCCGAGTGACCCTCTGGCAGCAAGGTCTAGTAGATGTATCTGTGCTCCAATGTTAGTCTTACTAGCCTTATTTCGAGGTAGTACAGTGACAAGATGACGTACCGAGTCAGAGCGAATCTGTAGCTGCTTAAGCTTGCTTGGTATCTCATGGTCTGCTTCAATAGTGTAGTCCGGGCTAAGCGGCTGGGTGAAGTCGATTCGGCTGATCCAGTTCAGCGTTTTGTCAATAGAGTCGAAGATTGTAATTGCGTGATGCCAACCTTTCATCATTCGTAATGTCGTTTGTGAGAACACACCCAGACTAATAATCTCGACCGATACGTCTCTCTCCGATAATCCAGGCGTTTTGCGTTGAAGCGCGGAAACCTTCGCGTCACACTTTCTGAGTATGTCTTTGGAAAGCACTCGAGTCAGCAAACTTGAGTCTGTCAGCGTCTTGCCTGCAGGGAGTTTGCTCGTCTGTCGGGCCACTGGGGGTTTAGGCTTAGTCCCAAATGTATACACTTGTAGTCGTCGAGCAAGTTCAGCGGAGGATGAATAGGTAGCGTTCGTGGAAAGGCTTTCGTGAACGGACCGCAAGTTTATTTGCAAGTCAAACAGCGTTGAATCTGCCTCTACACTCCGAATCAGCCTGGTTTCGGTTTGCTTTTCTTTGCTTTTGGCGTGACTTTAGGTCTCCCTCGTTGACGCACTGGACTCGCAATTTCGAACTCCACATCTCTGTCTTCAATATCAACTGTAGATAATCTGGATGTAGTCGCCTGTTGATCTCTTTCACTGGCTTGAGCTACTGGATGGTGTTTCATTGGACTGGGTTTGATAGTGCAGAATTGCTATGTTCGGGCACAATCGGTCTCCGGGTCAGACACAGGTGGTCTCATAATAAACCCGCGGGTTGTAGGTGCCACAGCCTCTCTCAGATACTTCAGCACGTGAAACTGACAGAGCAGTATAGAGGCATCCGGAAACGCTGCCCTGAGTACCGACAACTGCGTAAAGTCTTTGTCGATAAGTATGCTTTGGACTCGAGTCCATGCCGGATTGTTCTGCTTAAACTCCTCGATTGCAGTGACGAGATTGTGACGACATTCATTCTGCAGAAGGGCGTGCTGAACAAACTGTCCGTGGCCCGAAAACATCGTGCGCCATGAGCGAAAATACCTTGTACTTAGAAGCATTGGTGCAGAAGGTTTGGCGGTTGACGACATGATTGTGTACGGGGTTACACTTTGTGATACAAACTGCAAACGCGTGCTTGGCTTTGTCAACTAGTCGAACGCAGGCGTTGATCTATGCCAGATTTATTAACGTTAGTACCGATAATTGAGACAATAGTACCCGCAACGCCCGAACAAACCCGAACGAACCCGAGCAGAAGTAAAACTTGAAGCCGTATCTTACCTGGGCTTTGCAGTCCGATAACCGGGTCTCTTGACGTGGGCGCTTGCTGTTTCCCTTCGACTTGTACTTGCCGAAGCAAGTACAGACTAACGTCTTCGCGTAGTATTTCCATTCGGACGGGATTTCAGGTGCTTTAGAGTTCTTGTTTCGGATGTCTGTGTTACGACGCTCAACGGTCGTGTTTGTACGAACACGGAAGACCTTCATAGCACACAATGGGATCAGCAAAGAAGCCTATTGCAGTGTAAATCCACTTTACCTGGTAAGATGCGGCAAAATACCGGTCTAAATACGAGTGGAAAGCGTCCCACGATGTGAAGTGGTGCTTGTCGGGCACAGCCAGCGTTACATTGATAGACTCAGAGTCGTCGATGTTGGTCCAGTCGCTGGAGCGGCTGCTGTTGTCGCCAGATTCCATCGGGAGCGATTCGTCGACCAATTCCTCTTCGCTGGACTCGACCGAGACGTTGGATGCGTCATCATCGCTTCGTGACCCTGATCCACGACGTTTTTGAGACGTCCGCGCCCTTAGCTCCATCTACAACGTTTGCGCCGATCGATTCTTGCCCTGTGGCTGACCCACGCTCGGCAGCACGCGCAGATTCGTGGCGATCGTCCAGCAGTATTCAGACCCCGAGGCGGGAAAAATGTGTGGTCGCCCCCCTTTACTATACGGTATACTTTGTCCGGAAAGGGGTATTTATCTGAGGAGGTTTAGGGTCGAGTCGACTCAGATTTGGCAGATTTTCATTCGGGCAAATGAATCACTCTCAAAAAAATTTAGCCTGAAGCGTTTTTATTATTTTTAATATTTTTAGTAAAAATACCTGATAAAAAACGTTATTTTTCGGTTAGTTTTTTTTTTGCTAAATTACTGGCCCCAGCGTCCATGTGCATAACGCGGCAAACAGTACCGGAATGCAAGTTGCATAATGCAACTCTCGGCTACTCTGCTTTTCCGCTTCAAGCGAGGCGCTTCCCCGGGAAGTTTCCGCTGTTGCCAACAGTGTTGGTCCATGCGTGTACGTGCGTGTACACTGTACGACAAGAGCGGAGCGGAGGTATGCAAGACACTACAGTACCGGTTTCACGCTTTTGCATGAGGATGTGGTCTGACTGTCAGTGTTAGCCCATCACTGTGGTGGGCTAACACTGAGCCTGCTTGGTGGGGTTTCCTGAGCTCATTTCCAAACTCACCACCAAGAGCACAAGAGACTCCAAGCAAACCATGCTCAAGAAGTGGCTTCTCCCAGTCTGCATTGCTGCTGTGGGACTCGTGGCTACCTCTGCCGACGACCTCGACGCTCGAGCCAACTCCATCGTCGAGAACTTCACTGAAAACCAGGTCGTTGGCCAACTGGCGCAGATCGCCGTCTTTGCTCTGCTGAACGAGGATTATTCCTTGAACGAAGACCTGGTGCGCTACTACGCCAAGCGCCATGTCGGGTCATTTTTGACCACACCGTTCACGAACGGCCCCAACGAACTCACCTTCGCCGTTGGCTGGAACGTTGCCGAGTGGCGTAATATCATCACCCGCATCCAAGAGATCGTCATGGAAGAGAACGATGGCATCCCGATGATCTTCGGCATTGACTCGGTCCACGGTGCTGGTTTCGTTTTGAACACTACTCTGTTCGGCGCTCAAATCAACGGCGCCGCCACCTTTAACCCGGACTTGGTCTACGAAATGGGTCGCGTCACTGGCCAGGACACGCAGGCTGCTGGAATCCCCTGGATATTTGGCCCTATTCTCGAGATCTCAAGCAACCCGTTGTGGGCACGCACCTACGAAACCTTTGGAGAAGATCCTCATCTCGTGTCGGTGATGGGAGATGCTGTCATTCGCGGTCTGCAGAGCAACAACCAGACTGCAGCATGCATGAAGCACTTTGTGGGCTACTCGAAAACCCCAACGGGCCACGACAAGGATGGCGTTGAGATCTCGGACTTCGATCTACTCAACTACTTTGTGAAACCTTTTAAGGCAGCTATTGACGCTGGCGTTATGACAACCATGGAAAACTACATCTCCATTAACGGCGTCCCCACTAT